CAGCTTTCTCTATATACCTTCTGCTGCTGTGAGGTCGCCGGTGTGTGTGTGTGTGTGATTGTGAGTGTGGGCATGCATCTAAGTGTAAGTACGCTGATGTGTACACAAGTGTGCAAAATGAGTGAGTCTGTGTGACTGTGTGTGTGCATGCTTGAGTGTGAGCGTGTGTGTGTGTGAAGGCAAGTGAATATCTGAGTGTGGAGACACAGCATGTAAGTGAGAACAAACTCAAAACTGGGCAAAAGAAAGAGAGCACATGGCATTCCAATTCAGTTACGTGGTTGGGATCTGCCAGCACTTGGAGAATTTCCTGACTCCAAAGCCTGCAGCTCTGTCTGCCCATGGCCAGTGGTGGCACATTGGAGCCTTTCTAAATGATTGGAATAAATGATATGATTCTGCCAGCCCAGAATTGATGGAGTCTGGGCCAAGTTGGAGGAAGAGAGGGCACTGAAGGTGCAGGGATTGGGGATGCTGATGGGCAGAGGGCAGGGCTCTCTGAAGCAAGCCAGGCCCTGGGCTTGGGAGCCCAACCTGCTGCCCCTTCATCTTGGCAGTGGGCATTGGGGATCCTTGAAGGGGGGAGTGTAGTAGTGCATTATAAACTGGTGCTTTTCTTTCAGTGCTTTTGAGGTGGTCCCTACCAGCCTTGTTGTGCTCCTCCCAGTCTCAGGTCTACCCACTACCCTGTCCTGATTTCCAAAAAACAGAACCCCACTGATCTCTGAGTTGGAAAGAGTAACGTGATTAGCATCTTTACATAACAGTCTTCTCTTTTTAAATGAACATCTCAGTAGCAGGATGAGATTTTGTCTCTGAAGCGTGGGGAAATAATTTTTCTCTTTTTTTTTATCTGTGCTGCTAATGTTCCCTATCTCCTTTCCACTTTTAAATACTGTGAGGTTGTGTTTGTAGAGATGGATTCTCACTATGTTGCCCAAGGTGGCCTTCTGGTCTCAATCAATTCTTCTGCCTCTACCTCCCAAGTAGCTGGGACTATAGGCACACACCAGTGCAGCCAGTTATATGGATTTAAGTTTGTGATTATTGGTGGGTTTTCATTAAAGCAAATAACAACAAAAAAGTAACTCATGGAACACTTTCAAATATACATTTTATTGTGGTACAGGGCTATCTGAGAGAAGTAGTGTTATGGCTGGTTTGTTAATTAATATTAGTAATTATTGTTAACATTTAAGTATTTACTTTATGCCAAGCACTATTCTAAATGCTATCTGCATGTTGTTCTCATTGTACATATGAGAAAAACGTGGCCCAGAGATGGTAGGCAACTTTTCACAGTGACACAGATAATAAGGTAGTGTGACTTTCTGCTACTCTGAGCACCCAAGTTCTGGATCAATATACTCTGCTGCATCAGTTATGACCGTGACCCAAATATCCAGGTGTCAGCGGCCTGGAAATATAAATTGACATTGACATTGATATTCACCTTTTATTGGCTCTAAGCCCCAGCCTTCTCAAGTCCTGTCTTTTCCAGCATCAACTTTGATTATTTCTAGAACAACCCAGGATGCTTTCTTGTCTCCACAAATCAGCTCTGGTTGTTGTTCTCTGCTGGGAAAACAGAAATTAAAATCACTTTCTGCTGCACATCTGAATGGCCTAGTTTTAAATGTAAACATTCACATGGCACAGCGAGGTGAAACGACTGTTGTCAATGTGTCGCCATATCCATCTTCTTGCTTGAACCTTTTGGGTTGTAGCACAAATGTTACTATCAACTCCCCTTAGCTTCATCTTGTAAATGAGGAAACTGAGCTTCAGTGAGGCTATTTTTCTGGGAAATCATGGGTGGTAAAGAGTGGAGTTAGATCCCGAATGACCATACCTGTGCTTCCTTGTTGATCTCTGGACACTCTCATTTGTACTTGTTGTTATAACTGTCCATAGCTTTGATGCTTATTTTTGTGACAAAAACATATTATTTGTAAGGTAGAGAGAGCTAACCCATGGAAATTAAGAAACACTCTTCTGAATAAACCTTGATTCAAAGAGAAAATAAGATAGCTATTACAAGTATGTACACATTGACAGAAAGGAGAACATATGGAATACAGCTGAAAGTATATTGAGAGGAAAAGACATTGTTCTTAGATGCCTTCATAACAAAAGAAGATTGAAAATAAATACCTGTTTTCATTCAACACAGGAAACTAGAATAAGACTTCAAAATAAACAGGAAGGACTTAAAGTTTATGAAATAGAAAAAGATAATATAAAGGATCAGTATAATTAAAAGCTAGTCTTCAAAAGGACAGGTAAGATACAAGGCTCCTGCTCTGTGTCTGTGTTCGTGAGTTCATGCATGCATGTGTGTGTTTGGGGCGGGGGTGTGGGGTAGTAGATATTAGGGAGGGACTATACCCAAAGTATACAACAATATTTTAAAGTGTAAGAGAACATTGCAATTAGCTTCAAAGAAATACATTTTAAAATGTGCAGACAATGAGCAATTTTCTATCAAAATGTAATCTGTGGACCAATGGGTTCACCTTGCCTGCTGCCTAGACAGAGCTGATTTATCAAGACAGGGGAATTGCAATGGAAAAAGAATAATTCATGCAGAGCCAGCTGTGTGGGAGACCAGAGTTTTATTATTACTCAAATCAATTTCCCAGAACATTCAGGGATCAGAGTTTTTAAAGATAATTTGGCAGGTGGGGACTCGGGAAGTGGGGAGTACTAACTGGTCAGTTTGGAAATAGAATCATAGGAGGTCAGAGTGAAGTTTTCTTAATGTCTTCTGTTCCTGGGTGCAATGACAGAACTGGTTGAGGCAGATTACTGGTCTGGGTGGTGTCAGCTGATCCATCCAGTGCAGGGTCTGCAAAATATCTCAAGCAATGATCTTAGGTTTTACAATAGTGATGTTACCCTCACGAGCAATTTGGGGAGGTTCAGACTCTTGAAGCCAGAGGTTGCATGACCCCTAAACTGTAATTTCTAATCTTGTAGCTAATTTGTTAGTCCTGCAAAGGCAGACTGGTCCCCAGGAAAGAAGGGGGTCTTTTCTGGAAAGGGCTGTTATCAATTTTGTTTCTGAGTCAAACCATGAACTACATTCCTTCCCAAAGTAAATCTGGCCTACGCCCAGGAATGAATAAGGACAACTTAAAGGTTAGAAACAATGTGGAGTCAGTTAGGTCTGATTTCTTTCACTGTCACAATTTTCTCAGTCATAATTTTGCAAAGGCAGTTTGAAAAATATTCATTATTAAATTTTATCCAAGAATACAGAAAATTTGAAAAGACTAATAACATAGGATAAATTGAAAACATTATTAAAAATTACCATCCAAAAAGGCACCAAACTTAGATGGTTTTGCCCAAGAGATAAAATTTCTATGTTAAGGAAACTCTTCTGGGTAACAGAATTTATTTTATAAGGCTAGTACAAACATAATGCCAAAATCTTAAAAAAAATTAAAAAGGAAACTATAAGCCAATTTTACATATGAATATATGCATATCCATTCCAAAGAGAGTACTGAATTATAAATCAGTTCTGGCAATACAGTAGAAGAATAATATATCAGAACCAAATAGGATTTCTTCTTCTTTTTTTTTTTTTGAGATGGAGTCTCACTAGATCGCCCTGGCTAGAGTGCAGTGGCGTGATCTCAGCCCACTGCAAACTCTGCCTCCCGGGTTCAAGCATTTCTCCTGTCTCAGCTCCCCAAGTAGCTGGGACTAGAAGTGCCTTCCACCAAGCCTGGCTGATTTTTGTATTTTTAGTAGGGACAGGGTTTCACCTTGTTGGTCAGGCTGGCCTTGAGCTCCTGACCTCAGGTGATCCACCTGCCTTGGTCTCCCAAAGTGCTGGGATTACAAGTGTGAGCCACCGTACCTGGCCAGGATTTCTTTCTTTTTTTTTTTTTTTTTTTGAGATGGAGTCTTGCTGTGTTGCCCGGGCTGGAGTGCAGTGGCCGGATCTCAGCTCACTGCAAGCTCCGCCTCCTGGGTTTTTACGCCATTCTCCTGCCTCAGCCTCCCGAGTAGCTGGGACTACAGGTGCCCGCCACCTCGCCCAGCTAGTTTTTTTTGTATTTTTAGTAGAGATGGGGTTTCACCGTGTTAGCCAGGATGGTCTCGATCTCCTGACCTCGTGATCCGCCTGTCTCGGCCTCCCAAAGTGCTGGGATTACAGGCTTGAGCCACCGCGCCCGGCCTAGGATTTCTTTTATCAATGCAAGGATGGTTCAATATTAAGAGATCTATTATTATAAGTCATTACACCAACAAATTGTGATTATGTTTCTAGTTGCAAAAAGCCATTTAATAAGGTTTTTAAACAGCTAATCCTAAAAATAAAAAACCTGAAATCAAATAAACTAAAAAACCTAGTACAAGTTAAAGACTATTTGTGAGAAACCAAGAATAATCACTATACTTGTTGAAATACTAAAACTGTTGTCCTTAAAATCATTCACAAGATATGCATGCCTGTCCTTTCCTCTCTATTATCATTGCTTCAGCTGCCCCTTTATGTGCAGATTTAACCTCCAGAACAGACTTCTCTTTTCAGAACAGATCGCTATCTAACTGCTTGCTCAGCATTTTCATTGGATGCCTAACAAACTTCTCATGGCCTCACTGGAACTCCAGATTCTCTCCTCCTCCCCTAAGCTGAACCTTCCCTGCTGTCTTCTCATCTCAGAGAAATAGCACCCCTTTGACTCAGTTGCTCAAACTAACAAACTGAGCTATCCTTTGTCCCTCATCCTTTAATCTAATCTATTAGCAAATTCTGCCCTTTCTATCTTTAAAATGTGTCTTAAATCCATCTCCACTGGCAATTAGGAGACTGATGGGGAGATGATTAACTTAGAAACCCACCCCTACACTGTATGGCTTGTTATATGGTACACACAGAACCTAGTAACTGAAGATCTAACAAAAGCAAAAGTAAAAGAAAGAAAAGTCACTTTGACATTGAGTCATGGCAAGTACTTCTCCCTGCCTTTCAGAGCCACATTTTGGAGAAAGCTTCCTGACTGGAATAATAAATTGTGCTTGAAAAACATAGAAATAGAGGAGAGGGCAAGGTTACTTCTGAAATGGAAAACTAAGTGGCACATGGTTTGAAAACTCTCAGAATCACTGGCATTCCTTGGTCAAGCTGAGTGGAACAAATCACTCCCCAAACAAAATGTAAGTCAAGATTTCTTTTCAGATGCTTCAAGTTCAGTTTCTTTCAGTTTTCTCCATCCCCTCCCTGTTCCCTCTCCCTCCTTCTCTCCCTCTTTTCTTTCCTCCACCCCCACTGAAAAGCTGTCGGTATAAACATCACATACCCCTTTATGGAAACCGAGGTTAGAGTTAAGAGATGATTCACCTTTTGGCGTTTTTGTGCTGGCGGCTCCCACCTCCAGATCTTTTTTTTTTTTTTTTTTCCAATACAGAATCTTTATCTGTCACCCAGGCTAGAGTGCAGTGGCACAATCTCAGTTCACTGCAACTTCCAGGTTAAGCAATTCTCTTGCCTCAGCCTCGTGAGTAGCTGGGATTACAGGTGCATGCCATCACACCCGGCTAATTTTTGTATTTTTGGTAGAGACAGGGTTTCACTATATTGGCCAGGCTGGTCTTGAACTCTTGATCTGCCCACTTTGGCCTCCCAGAGTGCTGGGATTACAGGCATAAGTCACCATGCCCAGCCCACCTCTAGATCTGTAGACAATCAATCAGCCTACTCTGTTCTGGAAGACCACACCCTATACAGATCCTTCCGGTGTCTATAGTAGCATTCTGAAAGTGGTTTAAGTTTCCCTAGTGCAAGCCAACTTTACAACCATTGTTGATGTTTGGCATTAAGCAAACTCCAGATATAAACATGAATTAGGCAGGCAAGGAGTGCCTGTCTGGAGATGGAAATAGGCACTTAAAGATATAGGCATACAAACAAGATAGCAAGTGCTGCAGGGTACAGAGAAGGGAATAGTTAATGCTGCCTGGGAGGGGCTTCATCCAAATGGCTACTTAGTTGGGTGTTAAGGGACTGGGAGGAACTCTAGGGGACTGAAGGGAAGGCAAGAATGGGTGAGGAAGTGTGTCATGAAAGGGCAATCTAGCCATAGAAATACTATTCAACAAGGCAGAAGGAAAACTTACTAGGGACATGAAGTAGCTCTGTGTGTTAAAAGCATGGATGTGGAGCTGTTGGAGCTAGTTGGGAGTAGGAAAGAAAAGAAATATTATGCGTGTGTTGGAGTAGTGCATTTGGACTAGGCCCTGCATGTGGTGAGTCTCTAAGAAAGCCTAGTTCCATCGAGTGTGGTTCTAGGACCAGCAGCAGCTGCATCCCTGGGGGTTTTCTAGGAAAACAGACCCTCGGGCTTCGCTCCAGACCTTCAGTATTGGAATCTGTACTTGAACAGTGTCCTGTGTGCAGGTTTAAGTTTGAGAATCACTGTATTACATGGCTTTAAGCAGATTAAAGGCAGAGTAAATATGTTTAAAAATAGCACTGTAGCCACAATGTGGAGGATAGGCTGGAAGGTGTAGTGATGGGGTTGGAAAAACTCTTGAAAAGGCCACCACAATGGTCTGGATAAGAGGGGTTACTCACCACTGATGGCCAAGCTGTTTGGCTTTATGCAATGCTGCCACAAAGCAGACCTTTGGCTTTGAATTCTAACAACTGTTTCTGTCTTTCAGCTCCCTAAGTAATAGTATCTACTTCTTTGAGATTTGTAATGATTAAATGAAATTGTGTACCTAAAGAGTCTGACTCATGAAGTGCCCGTCACTTAATAAACCCTTCATAAGTGGAAACTTTGTTACCATTAGGATAAACAAGGATTTGATTTTGTCCAAGTGATTTACAAACTGCAATTCTCTTGAATCAACCCTAAATGATTCTTAGGCAATGCATGAGACAAGCAAGAGACTACTCCCATCCACAATCTCCTCCCTGTTGGTTTTATAGTACTCCTGTCAGTCTAATTCAATCCAAGCCAGTTTCATTCTATTCCATTCCATTCCTTAGAAAGCCTTTGAATGTAAAGCACTTCACAGAGTATCCATATTTTGATTTAGTGTTCACCCTTACATGAAGGGTTAGGCTGCTGCCATCTCCATTTTACAGAACAGGAAAGTGAGGCTGAGAAAAATTTGGTTACTTGCTAAAGATCACACAGTTAATAATGGATGTAGGATTTGAATCAGGATTTAAAATGCTGAATATGTGATTTCAAGTTTCATAGTATTACTCCCCACCCCCTTCTTCAACATGCTGTACTAACAGGTTATCTTTGTTTCTGATTGCAGTTTTCGGGTTAATGCTGGGCAACTTGTCTCAAAAAGGTAGGACTAAGAGCCCAATGAAATGGTGAATGTAAGTTTGTAAGAGCTGTCATTTGTCTATTTTATTCACTGTGCCTAGAATAATACCTGATCTTAGTAGTGCTGAATACATTTTTGTTGAATGAATAAAAAAATGTTTTGTGAAGTGCAATTGCTGCATATTTGGGGGATAGTTTCATGTAATCTGGAAATAACTTGTCATTTCTCATGTTAGTTTCCTGTTGTGGCTAATTCTTGAATTGCTTTGTTTTCCTGACTAGAAATTAGCATTTATAAAACTGTAAACATTCACATAACATTTATTTCAGAATGAGAGAGCCATTATATTCATGATGATAGTGCTTGTTAAAGAGTCTACATCTCTCTAGATAAATTCAAGATGGTGTTATAATCATTGTTGCTGTGGAAGGAGATCAGAATATGCCACCCCTAAATATGCCACTTTGGCATAAAAATTATTTTGAGCTGCAGGCCATTGAGAATCAACAGGTACAGAAAGAAGCCTTCTTAGACCTTCTCTTATCTGATTAAGAGCAGAAACTTCTGAGAAATGAGGACTACCATGAATCCTCTCTACCAGGTAAGTTTTATGGCACTGAAGGCGATGGAAAGTCAGCATCAAGATGGCCCTGCACAAACTTTACTAAACAATCCTTATCTTCTGTTAGGTTCCTTATATATTTATCTTGCCACAATTTACTGTTCCCAGAAGCTCAAAACTCTATTCCTTTGTTTTGTCATTTCTCCACAAGTTTATTCTTCTTTGTTAAAATGATATATGAGCCTCTAGGTCTGCCCACCTTTTTGAGTTTTCATTTTATTTCTGTGAGGCCCTCCACCATATTTATAAAATAACCACTCTCTCCTGTTGATCTAAGTTTAATTTGCAGGGCCCCAAGGACTGAACCTAAGAGGGTAGAGAAAAAAGTTTGTTTCCTCCCCATTAATACAGTAATCAGGGTTCTAAAACCTAATGAATTAAAATCAGAAAATGAAGATGATATATAAAACACCTGTGATATAACAGACTTCATACTTTTCATGTTATTTTGTGTTATTTAAAATCGGTTTGGATTTGGTTTGCTATCCAGTTGCTCTCCTGTTTTCTGACTTGATTCTTCCTCTTTTTCAATTGCCTTGATAATAGAGATTCTTTTATTTACTGTTTTCCTTGAAGTGCCCAAACCAGGTGTGGTGGTGCTAGTAAATACTTCATTTTGCCCCATCATCTCCTTTCACATTTTCTTCTTCTTTTTTTTTTTTTTTTTTTTGAGACGGGGTCTCGCTGTGTCACCCAGGCTGGAGTGCAGTGGCGCGATCTCGGTTCACTGCAAGCTCCGCCTCCCGGGTTTACGCCATTCTCCTGCCTCAGCCTCCAAGTAGCTGGGACTACAGGCGCCCGCCACCACGCCCGGCTAGTTTTTTGTATTTTTAGTAGAGACGGGGTTTCACCATGTTAGCCAGGATGGTCTCGATCTCCTGACTTCGTGATCCACCCGCCTCGGCCTCCCAAAGTACTGGGATTACAGGCTTGAGCCACCGCGCCCGGCCACACATTTTCTTCTTTTGTCTCATTTGTGCAGAAAGGATCAGAGCTGGTGATTCCTGATTGACAGCAGTATGATTTCTGCTTCCAACTATTCATCTTGTTGAATGCTTTGTGGTGTTTTTTACCCCAGTAAAATTTCTGTTTGAAATTCCCATAGAGCAGAGCCACCCTAGCCTGAGGCCCAAGCACCAGGCAGGCCATAGAAGTCTAGAGAATGCCGTGTTGCCTTCACAGAGACTGTTCATAGAACTGGACTTTGAGACTGGCACATTACAGCCTGAATGAGATTCATCTTGCAGGAAAAGTAGTGCGAATAATTGAATATGCCTGCCTTGTTGAGTGTCCAGTAGCACAAGAAGACTGAGATCAGCTTTAGTCTTGCATGGAATTCCTCATGCACTCTCTATTCCTGGTTTTTGGAGACCCACACTAGAGGAAAATATCATGCAACAAAGCAAAATATGAAAAAAAAAAAAGGCTGCCAACATGATTGTCTCACTAGAGTGGGATAATATTAGTTTCATTTGCCATTTACTTCAGCAAGACATTTCTCAACTCTCACAGGTTATCAGTAAAAGCTGAATTGCAATCATTTTTATGTCTTCTTTCTCAAACTGAGAAGTCAGTGGTCTTAATAATTTCATGAGAAATGGTGACATTGCTGTTTAATAGGTATCAACTGACAGAAAGCTACTTTATAAGTCTAATTTCAGGGATCCCCAAGGATGGGGAATATTTGATTCCTTTTTTCCAGAAAGGATCCGTCTTACCCAGTATCATCTGGACAAGGAAGTGTATCAGTTAGGGTCTAGGCAGGAGACAGAAACCACATAGTAACTTGAACAAGAAAGTTATATAAAGAATTACTATTTACAGGAACTTCACTAAAAGGGGAGAGGAAATAATTCTTAGAATATACTTGAGGGCTCTGAGAGCATACCCAGTGAAAGACAAACTTGGAAAGGGGGGCCCTCTCCAAAGATGGGATTCAGACCTTATTTGAGAAGGTATGGTTACAGTTCACTGAATGGCAGAGAAAGTCATAGGGTTGCCTGAGCAAGCCTAGACTGACAGGAAACTGCCTGCCGGGTGCTGATGAAATTTGTAGGGAAGCTGCCTTGAAAGGAGTGCTGCTGCACTCACCATGAGGCCAGTTGGGGAACCCATGGAACTCACATGAATCCACCTGGTTAGGAGGATTGCTGCTGAAGCTAGGGCACTTTCAAAACTCCCTGTGAGCTGCCCATGGAGGATGTTACTGAACTTACTGAAAGGGAGCTAGCTGGACCACCCACGGTACCCACCAGGATTCTGCTTACATTTGTTAGGGGAGAGCTTCATTTGGTGTTCCATGCACACCAGCCCAGGAACCAGGAGGAAAAGCTTGTTCTTCAGCCTGTGTCCCTCCCATGTTTTCTACTGATGCTAGAGCTTAACATTATGCAGCTGTGCCAGCAGGCTAGGCAGGGCAGTGAGGGGTGGATTTGGAGCCCTGAGTCAGGAAATTGATAGGCGGCACGGGGAACGCTGAGGCTCAATTCTTCTACCTTCCAGTGTGTGCACCCTTTCACTATGTTATGTGACATGCTCTTAATGATCATCATTCTTCTCTTCTAGTTAATTGTATATCAAGAGAACGATAATTACGGTTGATTTTTGGTAGGTATTTATGAACAACATGAGAACCATAGGATTTAGCACTTCTTCTAAGCCTTAGTACATTCTCTGATCTGAATACTTAGGCAAATGACCAAAATTTAATATCATACATTTGGGGCCAATTTGGCAACGCTTAAGAAGTACTAGAAAAATTGAGGCAATTAAACATGAGCTGAATTTTTAATTTAATTTCTATTCATTTAATTTTAAATTTAAAAAATGATATATAGTTCAGTTATTGGACAACTTTAAGAATGTTTGGAACAATTTAGAGGAGCGTGTGGCACATTTTATGGGCCAAGCTTGGAAGGTTGTACTTCACTTCTGTTTTCATTCAATTGGCTGTGTCAGGGAGGAAAAACTTTTCCTCTACTCTCTTAGGTTTGTGACTGGGGGCCTGCAAACTAAACAGACAAAAGACAGATTAGCAAAGAAAGGACAGATTTTTATTGATGTAGTACACAGGAGTTCACGAAAAATATGCTTCAAGGAGGCAATTCGAATTTGGAGTTTATATACCATCTTAATAGGGAAAGTGGGGGGTGAAAGGCACTTACAGGAAAACCAATTTTTTTTTTTTTATACTTTAAATTCTAGGGTACATGTGCACAATGTGCAGGTTTGTTACATATGTATACATGTGCCATGTTGGCATGCTGCACCCATTAACTCCTCATTTACATTAGGTATATCTCCTAATGCTATCCCTCCCCCCTTCCACTACCCCATGGCAGGCCCCGGTGTGTGATGTTCCCCATCCTGTGTCCAAGTGTTCTCATTGTTCAATTCCCACCTATGAGTGAGAACATGTGGTGTTTGGTTATCTGTGCTTGCGATAGTTTAGTCAGAATGATGGTTTCCAGCTTCATCCATGTCCTTACAAAGGACATGAACTCATCCTTTTTTATGGCTGCATAGTATTCCATGGTGTATATTTACCACATTTTCTTAATCCAGTCTATCATTGATGGACATTTGGGCTGGTTTCAAGTCTTTGATATTGTGAATAGTGCCTCAATAAACATACATGTGCATGTGTCTTTATAGCAGCATGATTTATAATCCTTTGGGTATATACCCAGTAATGGGATGGCTGGGTCAAATGGTATTTCTAGTTCTAGATCCTTGAGGGATCGCCACACTGTCTTCCATAATGGTTGAACTAGTTTACAGTCCCACCAGCAGTGGAAAAGTGTTCCTATTTCTCCCCATCCTCTCCAGCACCTGTTGTTTCCTGAATTTTTAATGATCACCATTCTAACTGGCATGAGATGGTATCTTATTGTGGTTTTGATTTGTATTTCTCTGATGGCAAGTGATGATGAGCACTTTTTCATGTGTCTGTTGGCTACATAAATGTCTTCTTTTGAGAAGCGTCTGTTCATATCCTTTGCCCACTTTTTGATGGGGTTGTTTGATTTTTTTCTTGTAAATTTGTTTAAGTTATTTATAGATTCTGGATATTAGCCCTTTGTCAGATGGGTTGATTGTAAAAATTTTCTCCCATTATGTAGGTTGCCTGTTCATTCTGATGGTAGTTTCTTTTGCTATGCAGAAGCTCTTTAGTTTAATTAGATCCCATTTGTCAATTTTGGCTTTTGTTGCCATTGCTTTTGGTGTTTTAGTCATGAAGTCCTTGCCCATGCCTATGTCCTGAATGGCATTGCCTAGGTTTTCTTCTAGGGTTTTTATGGTTTTAGGTCTAACATTAGAGTCTTTAATCCATCTTGAATTAATTTTTGCATAAGATGTAAGGAAAGGATACAGTTTCAGCTTTCTACATATGGCTAGC